TTTACACTTGAAAATGTGTCTCGTGGTATTGTGCCATTTGAAGAAACCATCTGTTTTTCTGACTTTTCTTTTCCCAGATATACATAACAACAAAGCGCTTACCTTATTTCCCACTTGTCAACTTTCTATTTTTGATCGCCCAGTTGCCAAAACTTCAGTACAACAAAAACCTAGGTACTGTATGATATTTGTTCTTTGCAATAAGTAACAGTAACAATACATTAATATCTAACCAAACAACTCTTTATAAATAGAATGCTGTGTCAGATAGGAGATCTTTCTTTAGTTAAATGCATGTTAATAAAATAATGTCTGTGTGCCTCTGAAATATGATGTCCCTTCATGAAATATAGACACCAGGTTTAATATCAACCCATGTGAAATTGTTCACTACCTATTAGTAAGTAAACACAATTAAGCCTACGCATACCTTGCTTACTGGTTAATCCGCCCCTGCTTCAGGTATTTATATTGTCTACTTTTTCTCTACAGTGTCTTATAATATTCAGTGTAGAGGTGTTGCACATCTTTTGTCTGAAAATTTCTTTAGTTCATCAACACTTTGAAGATAAAATTCTACTACATCAGCCTTCCGTTGCTGCTGTGAGAAGTTAGCCATTAGTTAGATCATTTTCCTTTTTAAATGATCTGTTTTTTCTGGCAGCTTTTAAAAGCCTCTTTTTTCCTTTGTGTTCTGCAGATTTCTATGATGTGCTTAGATACGGATTTGTTTTTACTTTTCGTGCTTGTGCTCCCTGGAACTGAGGATGAGTATTCTTCAACAGTCCTGGATAATTTTTAGCCATTATTTCTTTGAATAGTACCTCTTCCCCATTTCCCTATTGACTCCTTCTGGAACTCCAATTAGATATATTTTAGACCTTCTTACTCTGTTCACTGTGTACTGGAACTTCTTTTTTCATATTCACCATCTTATCGTCTCTTTAGGCTATAATCTGAGTAATTTTAGCATCTAGTTTGGTAATTTTCTCTTCAACTGTGACGAATAAGCTATTTAATCCATACACTTTTAATTGATATACTTTTCATTTTCAGAAGTTCGATTTGGTTCTTTTTCACAGCTTCTTGGTTGTTTTATGATCTGATATAGCTATTTTTCTACTGACTCTTAGTCTGCTGGTACCTTGTGATTTTTAACTATGACCTGCTCGTTTTCTGAGGAAGTTTCTGAGAATTATTTGAGATCCAGGTTAACATTTATGTTTCTCTTGTGGGAGCATTACCAGTCCAGGCCCACTCTTCATTAAATCCTCCATTTCAGGTTTTTCTGACTACACAGTTCATTTGAATTCAGACTGTATATCTCTGTGAGGCTGAAACTGTGGTTACAAATTTTCAGGGGCATTTTTTCCTTCTACTCAGCACCAACGTCAAGGCAGGCACCTTTCCTTGCTGTTCCCCTTCTGAGGTTTATTTCTTGTTTACACTTCCACTGAGGTTAAAGAGCTTTGCAGTCCCACTTTTGTGTGGGACTGTCCTGTTGTGTTTACCCCTAAAGACACTAAGCTTGATCTCCTGTGCCCCATGCAACATCCAGGCAGAAGTTCTGAGTCTCCACATTTTGGCAGAAACCGTTGGTGAAAAGGCTGGCTTTGGCATTCACTGTCTTCACATGTTTCCTTCTTTCACTGTCCTGACTTATAAAGATTCTTTTCTTACACAGTGCTCAACATTGTGTTTGAAGATACTTTTTTAAATTTTATCCAGCATTTTACTTGTTTTTATTTATGAGAGCAATTCAGGATATCTAATCTGCCATGCTGCCATGAGCAGAACTCAACGATAGGTGATTTTTATTTTTTCATTTACATTTTTCTATGTCTTTAATATTTTCTACAACAGCATCTGTTAGTTGTGTAATTTAAAAAAAAGTAAAGGTGATTATAAAAATTGGTTAACCATTTTATGATTTTGAATCCATCAGACCACTGGACGCCTCCACCATCCCTGTGGCTAATTCAGAATGTAGTCAGACTGCTCATTTCCCACAAGGAGTCATCTGCTAGTGATGTTATCACGAGAGTTAGTATTGATCTGGGCCTTGAATGTACTTCAGTTTAGCTGAAATTGCAGGACAGGTTCCTGCCCTCCACTGCATACCAGTGACTCATACTGAAGTGTTGCCAAAGGCAAGTACCTCACTTGGTGTTGAATGTTGTTCCCTCACAGGAATGGTCTGCCGAAAGCCTGCTGACCCTGTTGATTGGCCGCCGCTTGTCCTGGGACTGCTCACTCTGCTGAAGCAATTTCATTCCCGGTACACTGAACAGTTCCTGGCACTGATCGGCCAGTTTATCCGCTCCACAGTGGAGCAGTGTACAAGGTACAGAAGGCCTACCGGGAATAAATGCAACTTAACATCGCAAAATGTGATGTGAACCTTTAATGCCAGATTCCTCTTACCATCTCCCTAGTAGGGATGGGAAATGGTTGGTTATTCTCCTCTGTAAAACAAGTCAGGGCACACATCCTGGTTTGGAGCAATTAAAGGTGTGCCCATTCTTAGTCACTCTCTGGGGAAGCTCCTGTAGGTACACTTGCAGTGATTTTTCAAGTAGGAATCTGGGGGTGTGCCCAGGGTTAGTAACCACCAAGGGGGAGAACATGCAGTCCTGTTCCTCTGCTTTTTCCATGCAGTTCTCAGCCCTTAGTAAGCCTGTGAACTCCGGCTAGGCCACTGCCAAGAGATGGTCCCACACATTTCAGTGGGAGTTAGAGAACACGTCAGCATGAAATCCTGGGTAGTGTCCAAGTTCTGAGTGTGTAATGACACAGAAATAACACAGAAGAATACCAAGCTTGTAAACCTTTAATTTCTGCTATTTTTTTATTCCTTAGGAGAATTCCAAATGTGACTTTTCTGAGATAGAAAAATAAGTTATTTACTTAAGATGCTAAGTCCTGAGCCTCCTTCCCTCCCTAAGGGATAGGCCTGGCTAAGTTTCATCACGTTGCACATTCAGATTTTGGAAGATTATCACTCTGTCATTTCTGCCAATGTAACTTAAAGACTAATTAGTGAGAATGCTCTTCCAAGTCCTCCAAAGCAACACTGACTCCTAAAACTGGAAGTGACTTCAGAGGCCGTTTAATGTACCTCCCACCAAATGCATGAATCAGTCCTGAGGCGTCCCTGACAGGTGGTCATCTGGTCTCTGCTGGGACATTCCCGTCATCCATGAGGCACTCTTGACCTCTCCAGGCAACACAGTACGCTAGCTGAGAGTCAGTTGTTCTCATCGCTAGAAACTTCCTGATTGTGGTGAACAGAAATCCATACCTGAAAATTTCACTCACTGGGCCTTTTTCTGGAGCCCTGTTGACACAGTGGTTAAGAGCTCAACTGCTAACCAAAAAGTTGGCAGTTCGAATCCGCCAGCTGTTGCTTGGAAACCCTATGGGGCAGTTCTACTCTGTCCTGTAGAGTTGCTATGAGTGGGAATCAACTCGACGGCAACGGATTTGGTTTGGTTTGGGGCCTTTTTCTACCCTTTGAAATTAGAATAAATGCAGTCTCTTTCCCTCACAACATCACTTCAGATTTTTGACGTCCACTGTTACCTTAGGTCTTCTCTTTAGGTAATCCCCTTCCACCTGTTCCTTATGTGCTGAGGTGAGACTGCTCACCATATCGGGTGCCTCTCCTGGGAGTTCCAGTTTGTTACTGGCCATCTTAAAATGTGGCTCCCAGACTTGTATTAAGATTCCAGATACAGCCTTCTCCTCAGAAGGGCGTTGGGGGCTATCACTAAGCACCTTCATTCTTGGCCCCAAATGTACTTCAGTGCAGCTGAAATTGGAGTAGCAGGTTCCTACCCTCCACCGCATGCCAGTGGCTGATGTTGATTTTGCCATCTTTTAAATCCCAAGATCTTTTTTCCCTGAGTTGCAGTCAGGCCCGTTCTTCCCCATCATGTATTTGATCAGTTTATTTTTTTCTGAGTTAAAAGTAAAGAACTTTATTAAATTTTAATGTGTTGTATATGACAACCATAGCATCATTGGCATAGTTTTATCTAAAAAAAAAAAAAAAGACTTTTATTTATAGTATCATTACAGCCAAGTTTTTAAAAGGCTTTGGATAAAAGACTGGATGGGCATACACTACATGCCAACAGCATCATGACAGTGGCCTAATGGGTGATTCTTTTTCCCCTCTTTCTCACTTTACAGAAACACTTTTAATATGACTGTTATTTGATAATGAAAAAACAGTTAACTTGGGAAAAGACTGTAGGAAAAAAGTTGATCTTATTTATTTTGAAACGTGAAAGATGCATGAATTCTGTTTGTATCATCAATATTAACTATTCCTCCAACTGTATGATTAATTTGGGTAAGACAGTTGTCTTCAAACTATTGATTAAAATATTGAACAACATAGGCTCTATGTTCCCCTAGCCTTTCTACTTCAAAGATTTATTTTTCCTAACTGACAAAGCAAAGAGGAGAAGCAGACTAGGACTTGAAGACTGTCTGTGCCACCTCTTAATGGTCCATCCTCTGCCTGAAGCAGGCAGCCGGGCTCTCCTCATTGTTCTTGCTTTAAAAACAACAAGCAAACTGAGCACAAACTCCCTGTTTTTCTCAGAATTCTCTAATTTTCCCAGAATTTCTGGGAAGCCTCCACTAATCACAGCATTAGCTTTACTGACACTAGTCTTCAAAACCTATGCGGTTCTTCTGTTTTCTCCTTAGCTGTACGTGGTTTCCTTGGCCTCCTCTCCGTGGTCCTGAGCCACGTGCGGTAGGTTTTTTAGGTGCCCTACTGCTGCCCTTTCCAACTGGCCTGATTTTGTGATCATGAGAATTTTGTTGTTGAGACTTCTGTATCCTTCTGAGCTCCCTTTGCTCTATTTTATGAGTTGGCAAAAAAATCTGCTCTTTGAAGCAAGTCTGACTATATGTTAAAAATGTCCAGGTGTGTGTTTGTTGTCCAGTCCGTTAACGATTCTTCCCATTCCAAAAGAGTAACCCTTTGTTCCTTGAAGTCGAGTAAATATATGACCCTGGTCACACACTGAAAAACTGAAAGCAGGGGGAGCTTTTTCAGGTACAATCACTCAAACTTTCTTTTCAGAATTAAAAAAAAAAATCAGAGAAACAGATGAACAATCTAGTACTGTAAAACTCTTTTCTAATTAGAAAATGCTAATTCGTACATAAATTAGAAATTGTTTTAACACCTAAAAAATCCTTTGGACATAAACAAGAAAGCCTATAAGCTCCAGACAAAGACTGGTTTGTACTTTGCTGCATTCCCAGCTCCAGGACCGTGCTAGACAATATGGTTGTTGAATGAATACGAGTAGGATCCCATATGGAAAATTATCAGATGCTGTGTTTATCTGACAAGCTCATGTACACAAGAATGTGCCAGGCACAATCCCAGATGTTCGAGATCCAAAGATGAAGACATGATCCAGGCCCTTAAGGAGTTTGTACTCTACATGGGAACTAGGCACACAAACAACTGAAAAATTAAGAGGCTTAGAGGAACAGACTAGGTATAATGAGCACAGGAAAAAGAGCATCTGCCCAGAGGGGTCAGGGGGTACTTCCCAGAGGAAGTGCCCAAGCTAGGACCTGAAATCTGTTTGGGAGTTTGCTTTCGAATAAGCGCACACGGCAAATGTAGCTGCAAAGGGCTGGAGGGGTGGGAGAGTACGGCTTACTCAGGAGCCTGTCAAGGGGCTAACTGTTGCTGAACCATGCAGTTCTGATGGAGATGAGTCTAGACAGCAGGGGCCATATTGTAAAGAGCCGTGTAAACCATAGAAGTGTAGGTTTTATCCTGTAGGTTAAGTTCATAAAGATATGCAGCAGCATATGATCTGAACCAAGAGAATGTTCCATAAATTTGTCTCTTCTTTGATTTCATTTGATAACCTATTATTTATTTAGTCCTTCCATATGTTGACAGAGGATATATTATATAGAAAGCAGTTAACTGATCTAGATTGTTCTCTTTCACAGCCAGAAGATACCTGAAATGCCTGCAGATGTTGTGGGTGCCCTTCTGTTCCTGGAGGATTATGTTCGATACACAAAGCTACCCAGGAGGGTTAGTGATAGATAGTAAAGAACAATATTAATGACCTTTTTGTAAAAAGATGGTAACAGTAGTGGTGG